TCTTTTACTTGACTTCTGAAAAGAGTTCTTATTTTCCCCGACTTTTTGAGAAAACTTGTAAAGACTTCTAAATTTTTCAGAGGAAGAAGTATGAAAAATAAGCTAAGCCCTCCCCAGGATTCAAATCATGGATCTGATGTGCTTGCTAGCCAGAGATGCAACCAGTTACACTAGAAGAACATGCATGGGGGGAAAGTGATAAATCTTTATATTTTTCTCTACTTAGGATGAAAACCAGTTGGTCAAATCCAGGTAGTGGCAGATTATAATACACCACATTTTAATCGGACATCATTGCACAGTAATTAAATTCTTTAGAGCAGGAGATATGTAAAATCAAGCTCTTGCTAGTCATTGAACTAAAAACTTGCAACTGATTGTTAGACATGCTACCTAGTCGTACCATGAAAATACACAGAGGAAAAAGCAAAAATTGACTTTTCCCCACATTTTCCATGATTGTTTTTTCCTCTTAACTTTCCAAAATTTTTCAAGGGAAGAGAGAGCCCTGTTTCAGTATAAACATTTATCCTGCAGAATCACTTCAAATTTTATCAAGATAATGAGCTGCTATAAATGTGCATTTCTGTTTGCAGTGAAATGAGTGTGAAATAAAGTTTTTGGTGTAAAAAAAAAAAAAAAAAAAAATTCCTCAAGCTTTATATTTGAATCCTATCTAAATCAAAACTTAAATCATACAAGATGAGTGAAGCAGAACAGTGCCAGAGATAACAACAAACAAACAAACTGATTGGATCCATAATGAAAAAATATTTGATTTTGAAAGCTATGGTAATTCAGAAAATATGAAAAATTTCTATTTATTTCATAAAATTGTAGGTATACAGTCACTTTTGTAAAGATTATGTTTTACTCTTGTATGTATTATTTAAAATTAAATATCAATAACAAAAACATTATTTTCTGTATGTGTGGTGCTATTATTTAAATAGACTACCTTTATGAAATGCCATGCTGTGAGACAATATAACCCCATACAGCCAATGTACTTTTTGGCCAAAAATTGAACCCAAGTTGAATTACTAACAATTCACATTGGTGATACATACTCTCCTTCCACTGTATGCTACATTGGTGAGCAAAAATTAAGTACAAGGCAGAAAAGTTAGAAAAAAAAAAAAAAAAAAAAGGAACAAGGCGACAGAATGGACTGGAAGACCAATCAGGAGATAGACTTGGGACTGGTATAGTAGAATATGTATGGCACATGGCTTAGGAGGAGAAGTGTCAGAAGGGTTGTTGCACATGGGCGGTGTATGATCAGACATTCAGTGAAAGCTACTGCATGGTGTACAGTAATTTTAACAATGCTGAGTTGCTACTACCATGTGATATGGCAACAGGCAATGCAAGAGACATAAAAATAACTTTACCTTTCATCATTGGAAAATTGGAATAAGGTTTAAGCAGATCCAATCCATAATTTTAAATACATAATTTATTTTAGCCTTTGAACAAGAAAGGCCTTTTATAAAAAAAAATCACTGGATAATGTATTTGTCCTCTCACAGGCTGAATTTGATTCTGCTGCCAGCATGCAGGGCATTTGCTGAATATTCACAAGAATGGACCTGGATTTAAGTGTGACTAGTGTGGCAGAGAAATTTGGGATCGCTCACAAAATCATTTCACAAGCCTGGAGAACATTTCAAAAAGCAGGATCAGTTGTTTGAGTGTTCAGCACTGGTCATCCATGAGCAACAGTGGTGGACTACCAGTATATCGTCTTACTGGTGACTAAGCAGAAGACATCAGAAGACATTGCAAGACACATGCAACAGACTACTGAACATCCCATATCCTGTTTTAATCTGGCCAGGAGGCTGCACAAATGTGGCCTATAGGCATGACAACCAATACAGTGTATGCCATCAACAACTGCTTATTGCAGATGCTAGGAACACAAGGACTGGACATAATATGAGTAGAGATGAGTGCTCTTTTTGTCTTTATAAGAACAACAAGCAGTTTAATCTAACAAGCTACTTTGGACACATACACAACTAGAGAGAGAAGGGAACATGCAATTACCTCTCCAAGATAATCAAAAGTGACTGTTTAGGAGATGCCGAAATTCTTGTTTGAGGTGGTATTTTGCTTGACAGTCATACAGACCTCTACAACTTTTTTTTTCAGTCACTGGTATTCGCTATTGCACCGAGGTTCTCTTGCCTCCTGTGCATCTGCTGTGGGTCCAGACTTTATCTTCATGGATGACAACGCTGTACCTCATTGTACAGTAGTTGTCACAGAGCTCTTGAAGAGCAAAGACATTCAATGCATGGACTGACTTAAGGTCCCAGGACCTAAATTCCATAAAATATGTGTTGGACTTTCTCGGGAGATGCTTGGCAGCATGTACCAGCCATCTGCAATGATTCCATAGTTGAAATTGGTGCGATGAGAAGAATGGGTTGCAATGCTTGAACAGCTCCTTGACAACTTTGTTCTCAGTATGAACATATTTCGTAATTTCTGCATTGCAATCAGGGGTGATGATAACCCTTTCTAAAGGATGAACTTCTCTTGCCAGGCATCTGTCACATGAATGTTTCCATCCTCTCTTCAGTTGTGCTAGGAGCTATCTTTTCAATAAAGTGCCTTTTTTAAAATCTTTTTTTACTCCTACTTTGAATGGTTTTGGTCATCTGCCCCAATTTTACCTTGGGTATCTGATGGTATGATTTGGGGCAATATAGAACACTTCTGTAAGATGTTACAATTGAAAACTTATTCTGTTCTTAAATTTTGCACACCAGTATGTAAGGTGATGGTGTTTTTACTTGTTGATGTTTCAATGTCAATTTTAAATAATTTTGCAGCAAATCACTAAGGATGTGCAGATAGAATGGTTACCAATACATATTTTTTTTTTTAAAATCAATATTATGTGCATATCAGTTAAAATTGTTTTAGTACAATGAACACAATATTCAGTTAGTGATTAATTTTATACAAATATTTTTAAATATAATGACAAGAATTTAAAAAAAATGAAGCTTTAATTAAAGGCAATATACACTGATGAGCCAAAATATTATGACCATCACCACATTTTTCAATGAACACATCTAGATGACGTGGAGGGTACGTGACTAAACAGGTATGGTATTTTACTGCTGCTGGAGAACGAAAGGAATCATTCTTGCACTTACTTTTGTTAGTGATAGGAAAGGATACTGATCTAAGCAAATTTAATAGAGGGCAGATTGCAACGGCTCAAAGACTCAAAAGGAGTATTTCCAAAACTGCACGACTGGTAAGTTGTACAGGTTGTACAGGATCTGTCACTATTAGTATTCATGTAAAGTGGATAAATGATGGTGAAACCAGCAACATACCAATGTGTTGGACATCCACACGGAAAGAAAAAAAGGATGTTAGAGACTGTCTTGCTTGGTACAGCAAAGTTGGGGACAGACAGTGGCTCAGCTAACAGCCCAATACAATTCAAGTCTAAGTGCAAGTGTTTCGGAAAATACAGTTCAGCAGACATGGTTGGATATGGGACGGAACTGCAGACAACTTATTTCCTGTGCCTTTGTTGACCAAACGTCACTATCAACTACGTCTACAGAGGGCCCAGGAACATCAAGACTGGACCTGGTCATCAAGACAGTTGCCTGGTCACTGTACAGCAGGTCATATGCAGGCTCTCCTCACTGTACAGCAGGTCATACATAGGCTGGTGGTGGAAATATTATGATTTCATAACTGTATATTAATTACACCCTTACATGGTGTCTTTCTATCCAGCTGGAAATGGAATCTTCTAACAGGACAATGGTCTATGTCACAAGGCTCAAATTGTGTTGGAGTGGTTCGAGGAGCATAAGGATGAATTCCAGTTAATGTCCTGATCACTTAACCTGCCAAATTTTAACCTGATAAAGCACATTTGGAATGTCATGGAGTGGCAAATCAGAGCTCAGACACCACTATGTCAGAATCTCTCGAATTTGTGTGACCACTGCTTAGACATTTGGTACAACCTGTCTCCAGTCATCTCCAAGAACTTGTCGCATCCATGTCAAGGTGAATTGCAGCTGTTTCTCAAGCCAAAGTTCACGCAACACACTGAGTAGGTGGTCATAATGTTATGGCTCTTCAGTGTATATAAAATTTCATCAAAAACTTAGTACACAGTATATAGTTTTGGTTTATCAGTACAGTAGTGCTCCCATATTCTCAGGTAACATGTTCCAAGATTTACAGCATTTCAATTATACTGCATAAAATGGTATATTGGTATAATATATAGAGTTACAGTTATGTTTGATTAATCAATTATGCTAGAAAGGCAGTTATGTGTTTTGCACATTACAATGCATTATGGACTGCATTATTTAATAGATTAACGTGAAATATACAGCATGTTAGAGTGTGTTCTTTCTCATACCTGTGAAAGTAAAGGATTATAACATTTTAACTTCATTTGCAAAATGCAAGAAAGAAATGAAATAATGTACAGCATAACATGTTGCTTTTAAGGATGATATAAATAAGAATGTTTCATTTTCTTAGCGCTCATAGCACACTAGTACTTTTTGAAGACTTGTAGGTTTTGGGGTACTTATCAGTTAAGAGGAATTTAAACTGAAGAAGAGCTGTGATAACACCATACTAATCAGAAAAAGGTTAATACTTATAGTCGAGATTCCCTTCAATATATTTATAGGTAGGGTGTGAGCTATGAGCTCGGGTTTAAGGTTTCTCTGTAATTTGAAAATGTATATAAGGTTCCATAATGACCATTTCTGTTTTTCTATTTAGTTATATCAAATGAAAACGAGCATGCAGATGTGTCATAAAATAGCACTGGATATATTCGAGCTACTGTATTTCAACTATGTAGTCACTTTGCTTGCATTTCGAAACATATGGGAAATTTCTTTTTCTGCAGCACTGGAATGCAAATAAGTAAAACTTTGGATACAGAATCAGATATGATATGGAGCACAAATATATTTTATACTTACCTACGTAACATACAATTGCTAATAACATTTGGAGAATGTATTTCTATTATCCAACCCATCATGTCACTAGCTTCATCAATCAAACTAAACAGGTTTTCTCTTTTCTCTTCAGTCAGGGTTTTAGAATCTAAAAAATAAACAAATAAAATACAGAGATTTATTTAACAAAAATTATACTTTTGATAAAATACTTCTACATTTATTTCATATTTTCAATGCTTTTGAGCTTTAACAAAGTGTTTTATATTATATCATGAAAAATCTGACTGTCTATGCAAATTTACAAAAGCATTGCTATAGGATGCATTTATATTGCAATTTTTTGGAATTGTTAATATTCATTTAAATTGTAATAGTTATGTCCACCTTACATATAAATTTTAAGGATATACTTAAAACCATATTTCACAATTCTTTGGCAGGACATTAAGAATAATTAATCACACTATGGGTAGGCTTCTTCCTATATATTAATTCTATGCCTTCATAAAGATTTTCCTGAATAACACTTTGCAAACGCAGAACATTATTATATAGTATAAAACAGCAGCATAAACTCTTGGATAGAATTAAATACAGTACAATGCAAAGTCTGAAATCTGAAACCCAGACATCCAATATCTGTACCTAAAAAAAAAAAAAAAAAAAAAAAAAAAAAAAACAAAAAAAAAAAAAAAAAAAAAAAAAAAAAAAACAAAAAAAAAAAAAAAAAAAAAAAAAAAAAAAAAAAAAAAAAAAAAAAAAAAAAAAAAAAAAAAAAAAAAAAAAAAAAAAAAAAAAAAAAAAAAATTACATGGTTCAAATATGGAGAATATAAAATTCCTGAAAAGCAGGTGTATGCCATAAAAGTAATTTCCCCCCCTGGATTATCTAAGCTTCCTGCAGTTTCAAATACTGGCTTTCTAAGGAATCTCACCAATGACCAATGACAATATACTGACTAATAGTGGCCACGTCGACACGCTTGCTGAAAGAATGCATAATTCATTTGTTTGTCATCTAGATATAGTTTACTGGCATTAAGCAAAGATTACAGTAGAATTAAAGTTTCTTACTTCATTAAGGGATAGTCCAAACTGCAAATATGAGACAATTAGAATGCAGAAACATATTTATATTATTAGCTGTAAGAAAGGAAAAAATACCGGCAAGTGATACGAACACTATCAACACTAGTAGAATGTAAAAAGGCATGTAGGAGAATATTTCTGTACGATCAAGTCTATTCTCTGTGAAAGTAACATTGAACCGATGGATTTTCTACTCTACGCATACAAACTACTGAAATGCATACTTTGCTTTTCAGAAGTAATAATACAGAAACATATTTAAAAACACTAATGTTTATTTTACTACTGAATAAAAACTAAAGCAAACAAAGGAAGTGTGCAAGAGCTGAATTAACTGATTCAGTAAAATGAATATACTTAATGGCATGCCATCAGCCAGCCGACAAAATCATATATCGGTCAGCCAGCGATAATATTATCAGTCTACTGCCAGGCAATTAAGAAACATCAACCAATTAAAAAAACTAAAAATTGTCAAAACATCTATAATAAAACACTTACTTTTCTTGATGCTCTTCTCCTCATGTACATAGCAATTTGTTTTGACTTAAAAAAATGAAAGGCATTGTGCACAATTTGGCTTTGCATGCAGTATCATTCTTCCTGTGTACACAGTGATCAGTTTTTGCTTTAAAACAAATCAGAAAATCGCACAAAGTGGACATCCCCGCACATATTTTGATCTGGAAAATTCAACAGTTTTGAAGTAAAATTTCACTGAATGCAAATTTTTACTTCTCTACTAAGCAAAATGCCTTACTTCTGAAGAAATACTTTGCTTTTATTTTCATCAGTCAGCAAACTACAATATGCTTTGTTACAAGGGGGGGGGAAATGCATTCAATGCAACAAAAGCAAACATTAATGACTATAAAAAAAAATTGGTGAAAATCAGCACTCGTCTACTATATGCGCATGCATACCTGGATTGTCACATAGATCCATTTTGATGACGTCATGGGATACTATTTTGGTGATATAGCGTCAAAATAGAGAAACTTGTAAAGAATTTTCAGGGGAATTGAATAATCAGAGAGAACTAAAAGTTTCAGTCGAAGATAACCAAGAAGTTCATGATACAGTACAAAGTCTGTAATCCGGACATCCATAATCCGGACCTCAAGGTGACAAACTTTATGTGCATGTGTAAATGAATAATACATTTACGCATGCACATATGCATTTATGCATGCGGGTTTAATATATAATGGACGGTATAAGCTAGGCTAAAATTACCTAAGGCATTTCAGTTAATGTTGTGCTGTTCCTTAATCTTCTAATTGGATCCGGCTTATTATTTTTTTGCAGACTGTTAGAGCAATTTTATATAAAGTAAGCTTGAACTTTCGATTATGTCAAAAAGAGTATCCAATTCTGGAGCTGTTAAAGGATCTACAAAGCAAAACCATGTTTCGATGTCCATCAAACAAAAAGTGGAATTGCTGCAAAAAATGGATATCCGTCTCAAAATTATGCGAGGAGTATGGCATTGGATGACACAAGAAAAAAGAAAAAGGAATTTTTTGAATTTTTTCTGGAAGCATCTTAAACAACTTCCATTGAAAGAAATGTTTAATAAAGTAAACAAATAAATATTAAGCTTTTTTTTTGAAAATTTTGATACCTTTTAGATCATAATTGCTTTTTATTTCATAAATTAAGGTTTCCTATTTTTAATTGTATAATTTCTGCATGCCATCTTACCAGATTTAAATTGATGATCTATAATCCGGAAAACCCCCTAATCCAGAATCGCTGAAGTTCTAACGAGTCCGGATTACGGGCTTTGTACTGCATATGATTTTCAAATATTGGTTAGAATAGATTGAAAGATGCTCTTTGTATCATCGCGAAGTTGTTGCTTCATTTATCGCCAGATTGTTGTTTCATTTATGGTAACCCGAGTAGTTGAATATAGTGGAAACCTTATTATGATGCAATCGGTCGTGGTAAATTTTGATTGATGGGAAAGATTTGTAAGGGCTTGTGGTGTGTGTTGGTTAGGAAATACATTGCTTGTTTTGTGGTTTAGACAGTAGTATGGCTAACTGTAAGATTAATTTGAAGTTTCTGTATGATTTGGAACGAAAAGGGAAAAGAGCATTAATTGACTGGTGTGTAAATGAAGGTTTACTTAGTATTCATTATAAGTGTCCTGTTTGTAGGAAGGAAATGTATATGGTTGAATGTCAGAGGATACCAGCACTATGGAGGATATTTTTTACTCTTATTTTTGCGAGTATGCCATAGACTGAAGACGTAGACATTTCTAAATAAGGTAAGTGGATATTTGCTTTGTGTAGTGCTTAGATGCATAAGATGAATTTCCTTTTTTATGTTATTGTTTGATTTGAAAGTAGTTTATTGAGATTATGTATTTTTTGTTTGGCACTTTAGAAGTGGGTGCACCTTTGACTTTTTTAAGTGAAAATAGATCGACGTGTACATAGATACTGAATTTATGCAATTCTTTGACTTGTTATTTCGGCTTTGTGTAGCCATAAAAATCACAGCTACACAAAGCCAAAATACCGAGTCAAAGAATTGCACAAACTCAGTATCCATGTACCGCCAAAAATCGCCACGGGGCACCCATAAATATATTTTTACTGCTCTATTTCAAGGTTTACTATAGCTATATAATATAACTTTAAGTGTATAGGAAATTTGGCGGGACCAAAAAGTTCATTTGCTATATGCATGGGTTCATTATAAAGCAATGGGATTTGACTGAAGTATTTCACTAAATCATCTTTCAAATAGATAGTTATGTGTGAAACATTTTACCCAGAAACACAACTTATTTACAATGTACTACAGTATATGGAAATGAGCTAATGTTCATAAAAAAATTACCCAAAATTTATCCCAACTACAAGATTATCAAAAATCCTTTACTGCCGCTCTCGTCAATAATCTTGGCTGCTCCACTATTCTAGCTTTCTGCAACTTCTAATGGGCAAGGTTCATTTTTGTAAGCTTGATATTTTAAAATTTTAAGTCTAAATATTTTTGAAGAATCAAATGAGGTGACCACACAACAGTGGAAAATACTTGGTCACTAAAAAAAGGTTTCCAAATATATTTGAATGAAATATTTTTCCATAGAAATTAAAGCTCTTTTTGCTTCACAGAATTACGTCATACAACATTTCATAAGAACCTGCTTTGTAACAGTTATAGTACAGTCTTGCTTATCTGGTAGTTCGGTCCGAGGTTCGAATCCCGCGCAGGCTGGCTGCATGGGTGTTTTCGTGGTTTTCCCCATGTGTAATGTGTATACGAGCCAGTTTTCCTTAAAATGTCCTCCACGAAGGCATCCATTCCTAAAGGCAGATAGCCCTCGAGTGCTTTGCCGTAATCTAATAAACCAAACCAGTCTTGCTTATCTGACATAAATGGGTGTGCAGAACTTCAGATAAACAAAAATTATAGAGATTAGGAAAGTATTAAATATCAAATTATAATTTTAAGATACTTTTCCATTACTCATCTACCTCAATTTTTGGTGCTGGTGAAAGAAAAGTCAAACACACCCGAGATCCAATGATAGCCCCATCGGAGCTATTGCTGTGTGTGTATACGTATGCATCTATAAACTATTCTTATAAATCGAAATTTTTTACAATTAAACTGCCTGCCAAAATGCGTGGCAGATGCATAATGGAAAAGTACTAAGTTTACATACTATGAACCTAATAATGATTTTTACAAAAAAAAAAAAAAAAAAAAAAAAAAAAAAAAAAAAAAAAAAAAAAAAAAAAAAAAAAACAAAAAAAAAAAAAAAAAAAAAAAAAACAGGAAAATTTAGTTGAAAAATTATATTATCTGAAGTTTGTGTTTAACTTCATAGTATTTAAAAAGTTCAGTCCTGTAACAATTCAGAGAAATTTTTTATCATAGTCTGCTTTCTTGATGAGTACCATTTCTTTGCTGCCAAGTTTGGCGATCTTTGTAGTGTCACAATGTTAATTCCTGCACGTTTCTACAGCCTTAACTCCACCATTATGTGAAATTCTGTGAGGCTCAACAACTGGTACTCGATCTTCAATTTCCCTTTCATAGCAGTTGAGAAAGGCAACAATTTCTTCATCAGTTATTTCATATTAATCACCATCCTTCATCCAATGTTTGATTTCTCACAAAGATTCATCTTCGTACCCAGGGATAGACTATACTAAAAACAGAATGATTTCTTTGGTTTTTATCTGTGGTTTCTATTTTCCTCTTTTCATTATCGCCTAGCAGCTTCTTCCGTGATTTGACAATTATTGTAGCCCTTACATCAGCCTAGGCTGATACAACCCCAAAAGCAGCATATTTTACATTGATGCATTTAAATTTTTCACTGATGATTTATCCTTCTTCGGTTTCTTCTATCACTGTGGACTAGAAACATTGCCAGCCTTTCCTTACTATGCTTATAGCCAGAGGCTACCGATTCAGTTCTGGCTGCAAGATTCTTATGAGGTAACAATTTTAATTAAGAGCTTATCACAGTTAAATATCTGAACATTAATCAGTCTTTCAGATTCAATTAATTCTGGAAATGCCTTTTGAATGATTTCATTTCTTCAAAGTTTGATGATAGTTTTTCACTAAACACTTAACTGATGGATACTGTAGTACTTTTTAGATTAGTTGAGCCGACGACACCTGCTGCGAAATCAGAGTCCCCTTCATTGAAATACTTGAAGATGCAACACCTTTTGCTATAAAATAGGCACATCATTGTCCCTGAACTATGCAAACCAAACATACAACACATCAGTATATTTTTCATAGTTTTTCTTTCTTTTAATGCACATGCCGTAACTCTTGACACCCACCATACTTCTATTTCTATTTATTTCATTTTCCAGTCTCCTGTTGTTACTCATCTAACATTAATGTTGTTGGCTCCTTCTGCATTCTCTCTTCTTTGTCCAGGTCCATTGATACAACTTTCTTTTTGATGTCATTCTTTTTGTATTTGCATAATTTTCAACTTTTAAACACCACAGTAATATTTATCTCTACCACAGAGACAGTAACAGACCATAAACTGATCTGCATACAATGGTAAACTGCATTACACTGATTGGCAGACATATTATTCACAGTGTGCCATGTGACAGAGTTGACAGCAACAATGAGGGGCCCTACGTTCACAATTTGCTGGTCTGGTTGCTGATTGATGCCTTTTTTTTTTTTTTTTTTGGTGAAAGTATGTCAGATAAGTGAAACTCTACTGCATATGATCATCATTCTGAACGAAGTTCAACTACTTGAAAACACATAAAAATTGCCACTTTGTTATGAATATCACTACCACAGAGTCCCCAACCTTTTTGTCCATAAGAGCATGTTCTAGAATACCTGTAGGACGGCAGGCACCATTTACCTTTCAAGGTGAATTTATAGTAGGACAGAATCTTTTTATTTATATGTATGTATTAGTATACATACAGGTAAATAAAAGATCGAAAGCATTTTTTTTTTGTTTTTTGTGCTGGTATCTGTATTGGATGTAATTTCTATTTCATTAAAAATGAGAAAACTTTCACACAGAATTTTATTGAAAAACTAAAGCATTTTTATTGTGATCGCACAGCGGCGGGCACATGTTAAACAATCAGCGGGCGCCACGGTGCCTGTGGGCATAGGGTTGGGAACCCCTGCACTACCACATATTTCACAATGTTCAAACAGTTGAAAATAAAATGTTACATTTCTGTGTAAAGTGAAATGAAAAATAAAACTGGTTCTTCAATGGACTACCAAGTGAAGCCCTTGATTATTATAAAATGCCCCATGTTCCAAGTTCTACTTACCAGCTACCCCTTTTCTTTTGAGAATATCAACTTGAGAAACAGCACAATAAGCAGCAGCATACACCATGGGACCTAGAAATTTGAGAAAAATTTAATACTATATACTGCTGGTTACATAATATATTATAATCTGAACTGAAGAACTAATTCTGATAAATACTTGATTTTGGAAATCTCTCCCCACTCACATCTACCCTACTTTAAATGAAAGATTTGTTAAAGACTTTAATGTGAAATGAAGAATATAAGTTTTCCTTTAAAACAAGTACTTGCCTCCCATATGTTCACAAATTGCCGTATTTGTTGCCAATACAACAAGAATGGCAAGCTTGCTTCCGTTCAAAGACCCTAGGGTATAGAGGCGAGCACTTTACTCTACAAAAAGTCCTTCCCTCCTATACACTAGGGATATTTATCTTGCCCTTTTACCTGAGTTTTTCTCTATCCACCTTTATTTGTGATGGTATGTCAGATAAGTGAAACTTTATTGCATATGGCCATTCTGAATAAAGTTCAATTCTGAAACACGTAAAAATTGTCATTTTATTATCAATATCACTACCATATATTTCTCAAGGTTCAAGCACTTGAACATGAAATGCTCGTGTTTGCCTCTCATACAAAGACAGATATCCCTAGGGTATGGGAGGCGAGCACTTTACTCCTGAAAAAGTGCTTGCCTTCCATATACTAGATATGTTTGTCTATAGAAGAAAAAACATGAGGCAATAATATAAGATGAGAATCAATTAAAAATAGAAAAGTAATTATAGGTTAAAAAAAGTGTGAAAAACTCAGATGAAAGGATATTTCATCTGAGTTTTTCACACTTTTTTTAACCTATAATTACTTTTCTATTTTTAATTGATTCTCATCTTATATTATTGCCACATGTTTTTTCTTTTCTTGTTGCAAGCATCAAAGAAAAAATAAATAAATAAAATGAATAGATTAAAAAATTCAAAACATCCAGTTATAACAATAATTCTTTCAGCTTACTGTATTCTTTTCTAAAGACCTCTCACTCTCAAAAAAACACCCTTGTTTCTTTTCTAAATAGATAGATAATTTTTTTAATTTTGTTGCATGTATATTTTAATAATAATACAACCTAATATTTTTCCAGCATTAAAATCAATGATGCAGATATGCTACAGCACTATCACTCATGTCCCATATTTGGGATAATTTATTTTAAAAATAATTATCTACTGAACTTATTACTGAAAGAAAGAGGTATATTTCCCCAACCTCCCTTTCACAAAAAGTTACAAATCTGCCATAATTTAACTACCATATTTGATGGCATATAAGACACACCCTTATTTAGAAGGCCACACACAAGGAAAAAAGTTTCGATGGTCCGCGCAACAGCGCGGTACCACAATAACTTAAAATGTGGTTTCTTTTTGTTTTCACGTTTCGTAAAAGCCAAATAAACAATCATTGAATGCAATTACCAAACATTTTTTTATTAAGGAAAATTAACAAACGGCAAGCTATTTTGAACATGATATGTAAATTTCAATAATGAATAAATGAATGAACGGCAAGCAATCAAAAATAATACAAAATAAAGCAGAAACAACAAAAAACACAGATTCAAGGAAAACGTTGCCTATCATGAAATTAGACTTTAATCGCTTTCAAAACCATAAAAATCCTTTTCACTATCATCATCATTGAAAACGAGAATATCATCATCACTACTGTTTCTGTCATCGCTAGTATCACCTTCTTCGAATAATGCATCATCTTCTGTCAAGAGCATTACTGATTCCGCACTTCTTAAAGGACTTAACAATTACTTCAGCCTTTATGTCCTCCCAAGATCTTTTTACCCACTCGCACACTTGTGAAATAGAGGGCCGCTTCATTCTACCTGAGGGTGTGATGTGGCTCTCCTATCTACTTGTTCCATTGTTCTCGCACTTTTTCCTTAAATGGCTTATTCACCGATACATCTAAAGGCTGCAATTGGCTAGTCAGTCCAGCTATCTGGGTTTTTAATTCTCTCGCCTTATTCTTTATGGTTTCAGCTCTAGAGGCGCTAAACTGATCAAAAACCAAAAGAGATGGTTTTCTTAAGAGTCCACAAGGTTGTCTCGCCCATATGTTCTGTAACCACAGTTTCATTCCAGCTTTGTCCATCCAGCCTTTCGGATGAACATAAACAATTACACCCGTTGGAAGTTTTTCTTTTGAATATGAAAAACAGCGGTAGTTTTGTGCCATCAGCACAACATGTTAGAATTACCATATATCGGGTTTTTTCATGACCTGTGGTTTTTATCGTTATTGATTTAGACCCTTTAATACTCACAGTCTTGTTGGATGGTACATCAAATGTGAGTGGAATTTCATCCATATTTCCTATTTGACTGAGCTCAAAAGAAGTTTTCTTGCATGCATTTATAACAAACCTATGAAATGCTAGTATTTTTTCTTCATAATCTGCTGGCATTTTCTGTGCAATAGTTGTTTTTGTGAGCATTGCCTTTTCATGAACCTGCAGCACCAGCCCTCAGACCCTGAAAAGTTCCGATTCCCATGTTTTTCTGCAAATCCTTTGGCCTCATTGATTATCATTTTGGTTGAAACACTTATCCCAGATTTCCTCTTATCTATCACCCACGTTTTTACGGCATTTTTCAAGTTCAGGCCAAGATGGAGCTGGGCATCGAAGGTTATATTTTTGTATTTTAGCAGTCTTCAGTTCATCTTCCTGCAGTCGCCAAGTGCGTATAATTTTTTCGGTAGGTGGTGGACAGAATGCCTTGCTGCTGCTCTGTTTCCATGCACTTTGGCATAGTTTAACACTCCTAATTTATACTGAATTGTATAGCTTAATCTCTTGTTTCCTGTAGTCATAATTTCCAGGGTATTTTTTTAAGACGAATAGTTTTAAGCACCGATACCAACACGTTTATACAGAGTAGCACCGATACCGACACATGTGTCGGCTGAGTCAAAGAAAGTCTATGTGAAGAATGAAAGGCTCCATAGACGTAATGTGACCATCAAACCTGTTCAAACTTCGACATCAGCTTCGAGCTTTGCCGCTTTTTGGCAACAGATATTTCATGCATGTGCAAAATAATTATGGCAGATGTAGAAAAAGTTATGTGTGTCTAGACCTTTATCCAACTAAAAATAGCATTCAGTATTGAAAGTTAACCTGTGTCCTTCATGTATAAGACGAAGGTAACTTTTTTGAGACCAAATTTAGGAAAAAAAGTGCGTTTTATATGCCGTCAAGTACAGTAATCAACTATCAACATCAAGACTTATTATGCAGCATCTGTTTTCCTTTACATGGTAACCTAGAGGGTCCACAGAGGTTGCCTGTTTACATCATATAACAATGCACAAAAATTGCCCAAAGGAATTTTATCTTTCCAAATATTTTCAGGTGTAATAAATGAACAATTTTAAAGCAAAATTATATATTGTAGATGTATTTTAATGGACTTCCTACATATAAAGAAAAGCAATATACAGTTTCATCTAACAGTGCAATAAAAAATAAAACAATTAACATTAACAAATGTCATTTTGTTACTTCAGTATTGTGCATTGAAATCTGGGTCTTGTTTTCCAAAACAGTCACTCCAGTTTTTGAGTCTTATCAAAGCACACAAAATTCATATAGGTATCTTTCTTAAGGAATTTGACATCATAGTTTTTCACAATTTGGCTAATCTTTACGGTACCTCTTGTTTTTTTTCCTGAAAGAAATCGCCAAGAGGTATTGGTTGTTTGCCAAATCTGGAAGCCCACCATGAAAAGTAATTGTTTCGGTAACCCTAATATTGATAATTTTAGGACAACTGCTGGTTACCATGATAGTTTTAACCTTGTTTTAGCTTCCTCATTTTTTTTTTTAAGTGAAAATAGATCAGTGTGTACATGAACAAAGTTAAGGCAGTGTCCAATGCCTAGTTTGTGCAATTCTCTGATGTATTTTTAAGTGAAAATAGATCGATGTACAGTCAAAAGTCGCTAATTCGGACACCCATAATCCGGACCTCAAAGCTAAAAACTTTCTGCGCATGCGCCGCGTTGACACATGCGCATAGGCATTTAGCGTGCGCGGAAGACCTTTATGACTACGCATATGCGTGTGCGCAAGCGCAGAATACATTTTCACGTGTGCGTTTTATGTATAACAGACGGTATAAGCTAAAATGATCTAATTATCTATTTCAGTTAATGTTGATGATTGCGTTGTTCCTTAATCTTCAAATTGGGTCCGGCTTATTATTTTTTGCAGACTGTAAGAGCAATTTTATAAAAGTAAACTTGAACTTTCGATTATGTCAAATAGAATTTCCGATGCTGGAGCTCCAAAAGGATCTACAAGACGAAAGTATGTTTCGATGTCCATCAAACAAAAAGTGGAATTGCTGCAAAAAATGGATAACGACATGAAGAAGGTGACAGAGAGGCTAGTGAAAACGAAAAAATTTCGATTGACAAGTTAGTCGGTATTCTCGGCACAGCAATTACGGGACTTGAACAGCGGAACTTTGTAACTGAACAAGAAATTATGTCTGTTTATAGAATTAAAGAGAAAGTATTATCACATAAAATGAAGCAACTTAAACAACTTACATTGAAAAAAATGTTTAATAAAGTAAACAAATAAATATTCAGCTTTTTTTTTGTAAATTTTGATACCCTTTAGATCATAATTGTTCTTTATTTCATAAATTACAGTTTCATATTTTTAATTTTAGAATTTTTGCATGCCATCTTAGGAGATTTAAAATGATGATCTATAATACTGAAAAATCGCCGAAGTCCCGACGAGTCCGGATTAACGACTTTTGACTGTTTATATGGATACATTCTCTGTGTCCATATAAACAGTAATAATCCGGAATAATCTATAGAGTCTTTGACTTGTTATTTTAGCTTTGTGCAGCGCCCATCTTGAAATTAAGCCTTCGTGGCGTCAAAGAAACAATTCACCACAGAGTACCGTACAATAAATGTTTACCCACAATTTTATATCAGCAACCACTCTTTCAGCTGAAACTTGTTCCAATTACATTTTCTCACAAATGAAA